CCAACTCAGGTCACTTGTCTGACAGCTACCTCCCCAGCCCTGCAGTCTAGAGCTTTTAAGATTTATTAGTGTGTGTATGTGTGTGTACATGTGTATCACAGCATACATGTGGATGTCAGAGGAAAGCTTTGCAGGACTCAGTTTACCCATCTATTTTTTTAAGGCCAGCACTAGCTGATTCTCCTGACTCTCCTCACCACACAGAGCTGGGTTACAGATGTCACCACCATATCCAGCTCCTTACAGGGTTCTCAGAATGGAGGTCAGCTCACTGGTCCTGGGCAGCAAGCTCTTTATCCACCCAGCCATCTCCCCAGCCCACTTTCTGTACTTCGTAATCCTTTTCTGCAGTGGTAGAAAATTAGTCCCCGTATTTCACTCTTTTTAAGACTTTATTTTTAATTATGTGTCTGTGAGTACAGATGCCATAAAATCCCTAGAAGGGCATTGGGTCCTGGAGTTATAGGCAGTTGTGAAGCACGTGATGTGGGCACTGGGAACCAAACTCAAGTTCTCTGCAGGAAGAGTACGTGCTCGCTTGCTGAGCATCTGGCCAAGCTCTCAGATGCTGGTTAACAGCCCGGAACGCATGTCCAGGAGACGGTGACTTCCATTTTCGCTTCCACCATTGCTGGTTTTCATGTTCTTCCAAGCTTTTCATTTTGTTTTGTTTCACTTAGGTGGAGTTTCTGTTTCCATTAAGATTTAAGAAAAACAAAACAAAAAACTTTAGCCAGGTGGTGGTGGTACCCACCTTTAATCCTAGCACTTAGAGGTAGAGGCAGGTGGATCTCTGTGAGTTCGAGGCCAATCTAGTTAGTCTACAGAGTGAGTTCCAAGACAGTCAGGGCTACATACAGAGAAACCCTGTCTCGAAAAACAAAACAAAACTTTAGTGTGTGTGTGTGTGTGTGTGTGAGAGAGAGAGAGAGAGAGACAGAGAGAGAGAGACAGAGAGAGAGAGACAGAGACAGAGACAGAGACAGAGACAGAGAGAGAAGAGAGGTGGGGGGAGAGGCGAGGGGGATTTGCATGTACTAGCCCCAGCAAGTGTGTGGCCAAAGGACAGCACTGAGGAGTCAGTTTTCTCCCACCAAACTCAGGTCCACAGCTCGCTCAGCAAGCACCTTCATCTGCTGGGCCTTCTCCTCCGGGGTGATTTTTCTCTCTGGTCCAACACCCCCTGTGAAGTGTTTGTAGGCTCTTCCCAGTGTTCAGCTCTACACCAGGCCTTAAAGGATCTTCAGAGAAAGTTCTGTCCAAGCTGTGCGTTCATTTTCAGCTACTTCCTTATCTGAAACAGGAAGCTCTTTCTCAGTAAATGATGTGCACATAACATTTGTATGGATCTGACTTGTTTTGTTTTGTTTTTTTCCTTGCTAGTCTTTATTGGTTTTGGAGATTGTGGAGAAATTTCTATTTGGATGTACAGCATTATGTCAGCTACCTAGAGGTCCCCTCCATGTATGATTTTTTTAATGAGTCAACACATTCAATGACATCATGGCTTTTATCTGGATATGGAAAGTAAATTCCTATGACATGTGACATATATAAGGTTTTACAATATCTGACACAGAATTATAGGAATTGCTACATACTATAAATCTCAAAAATCTGGATTGTTTTATTTAAAAATGATAATTTCCTCAACCATGGAATGCTAGGGTTAAAATGTTAGGCCTTCTTTCCTGGGCCAGTTTCAATTCAAACATTAATAGTTTTCTTTTCAATGTCGTCCTAAACTTGAACCAGTCCTCAGGTTTTTTCTATTGTTGCCAGATTCATGAGGTTTCTAAACAACAACAAAAAATTATCTTCAGAAATTAAGTGGAGAAAAGTTTCAATAGGAATGGTATTGCTTCTCTCTGTTGTATACGAGCTTAATTCCCTGGTGTGTAGGGCAGCAGTTTGTGTTTTAGGACTAAAAAGACAGTCGTATTTGAAAACTTACAGGAGTTTGGCATCCAATCCAGATCTGCAGCAACCCGCAGCCATACTGCAGGCCAGATGGAGGAGCCATCTCTTTTACAGCATTGAGCAGCTGTCTCCTCTCGGTGCTCACATGCCTGGAGTGAAAACCCACAGCCTGCCATGTGCCCGAGTAAGTAAGAGGCATAGAAATCAGATTCTTCCCAGCTTCCTCTGGTTTGACTTATAAACTATTCCTAAGGGCCAGAGAGATGGCTCAGCAGGTAAGGATGCTTGGGATCCACATGAGTGGAAGGGCAGAATTAAGTCTTGTAAGCTGTCCACTGACCTCCACACAGACACCACAGTATATGTACATGATAAATAAAGTTTATAAGTAAAATGTAATTTTTTAAATTTTGTGAATATATTTTGTTGTTGTTGTTGTTTTGAGACAGGACCTCTCTATGTAGCCCTGGTTATCCTGGAACTCTTGATGTAGATCAGGCTGGCCTCAAGCTCACAGAGATCCACCTGCCTCTGACTCTGGAGTGCTGGGATTAAAGGTGTGTGCCACCATGCCCAGATTTAAATGTATTCTAAAGACATGAACTAACTTGAAGGAGTCCCAGCTAGTTGTGGTCTTGTGTCTGTGGAACAGGGAACTTCATTTCACCTTTTCTTCTACTCACAAACGCTTTACCGCTTGGTTTGCACACAGAATGCAAACAATTTTAGATTATTTGATCTAAAACTCAGTAGAAAGGTATCATTTCAAAAACAGCACTGAGAGCTGAGGACCTGCACAGTGAAGAAGAGCACTTCCTGTGCAAGCATAGGATTTGCATCTGAATCCCCAGCACCCCTGGAAGAAGCCAGGATTGGCTACACATGCTTGTGATCCCGGCACTGGGGGACAAAGACAGGCAGATCCAGAGCTTGCTGTCCAGGCAACCTAGCCAAATGGTGAGCTCATGGATTTGTGAGAGACCATGTTTCAAGGCAATAAAGCAAAGAGCAATAGAGAAAGACACCCAACTTCCTGCTCCAGTCTTTGCAAGTGCGCATACACACACACACACACACACACACACACACACACACACACACACACACACGAACACACACCTACACTATACCATACACACAACACAACACACACAGACACATCATTGGTGCTCAGCATGTGGCACATACCTTAACCTCAGCACTCAGAAGGCAAAGGCAGGAAGAACATGGATTTGAGACTAGCCTGGGCTTATAAAACGAGACCCTGTATCAAAAACCAAAAAGACTGGAGAGATGGCTCAGTGCTTAAGAGTATTTCTTACTCTTCCAGAGGACCTATGCCAGGCAGCTCACAAACATTTGTAACTCCAGCTACAGGGAGATCCAGCCCCTCTGGCCTCCAAGGCATGCGTGTGCACACGCACATGTGCAACACACACACACAAATTAAATTAAATTAATTCTACGGGTCCAGAGAGATGGCTCCATGGTTAAGAGTGCCTGACGCTCTTACAGAGGACCTGAGTTCAGTTCACAGCATCCACAGTAGGTGGTTCACAGCCTCCTGTGAACTCCAGCCCCAGGGGATCAGATGCCTTTGGCCTCCACAGGCACCTGCACTCACAAGCACATACTTCCACAGAGACACATAATTAAATATAATAAAAATAAATCTAAAGCTTAATTAATAGATTAAATAAATAGAATAGCAAGTGAGCCTCCCTGGGTTAAACACACACACACACACACACACACACACACACACACACACACACACACCACATGTGGTTCACCTCTTTCTGCTGTGCACTAAATCAGAGCCTAAAGAGGGTAGGTAGGAAGTTTGGACTCAGGGGCTCATCCCAGAAGACAAACGGGAGAACAGATGGTTGGTCGTAAAGCAACCCCAGTTCTCCATCACTCTGGTTCTCCCAGAATTAAACATTTAAACCTCAACGATTCTCACATATATCCATAAAAAGCAGGAAAACAGAAAAGGTATGCAAATTCTCCTGAAAACCACATCGCTCTCATGGAGATGGAATTAATCTGAGCCTCCATAAAATCATGGGGTGTGAAGATCAATCTTTTTGCACAAAATTAACATGTGACCCAGAGCTCCTAGTGCTTCCTGTCCCTCAGATGGAAACTATTTTTGCAAGGGAGATGGTTTTTCAGGCTGGCTGAGCCTCAGCTGGATGGCAATCTTCTGCTCACATCATCTACTGGACCAATTTTTAAAATGCTCATTTTGATAGCAGGAGCCAAGAGCAGCTATAGATTAAACAGACCTACAGAGCCCTTGGACTCGATTGCATGGGGAAATTTCACTGCAGAATGTACTCCGGGATCCATTCACAGAAAGACATTAAGCAGTGTGGCTCCAGTCTCGGCTTAAAGACTCTGCAGGGTGGTGAAAGGGGAGACAGGAGAAAGAAGAACAGACAGAGGTGCAGAGAAAAACAGGGGTGTGCACACCTCTCCATCTTTAGAGTGAATGAGCCTGGCACCACACTCAAGGGAAGAAAAGAAACACTCCGTATGTGTAAAGGGGACCAGCCTGGCACAACACTGCACAAGAGAATCCGTGTGGGGTTAAGTTATTGCTTTCCTTGGGAGAACAAACACATTTGCAAAAGTGCACTGGTTCCAAATGAAACAAAAGATCACTTAACAATTCAGTCTCGATGGACGTGAAAGTCGGACATAGTATCAATGGCAAACTGAAGCCTCCGATCCCAGTACTGTTGCCAGCACAGGCTTTTCTTGCTGTGGCTTCACTCAGTGAACAGCATGCCATTAAGAGACTAAGCTGGACAAGAGTAGTCAGTCCACCTTCCTGACATGATGCCACCCACATGAAGAACAGAGATTGTGAGAAAAATCAGCGCTGAGGAAATCCAACATGGAAATATAGGTTTCATTTCTATCATTTACTTAGGGCCAAGCTAAAATGGGTTAGAAGGACTCAGTGGGTACGAGAGTTCGCTGTGCAAGCATGAGGATCTGAATTTGAATCCCAGAACCCACATAAAAACCTGCACCACCTTTCTGCTGGGTACTGGCTGCTTACTGTCAAAATGGGCAAGTTCATGAAACCCGGGACAGTGGTGCCAGTCCTGGCTGGACGCTACTCCAGACGCAAAGCTGTCATGGTGAAGAACACTGATGGTGGCACTTCAGACCGCCCTTACAGACATGCCCTGGTGACGGGAATTGACCGCTATCCCCGAAAAGTGACAGCGGCCATGGGCATGAAGAAAATCGCCCAGAGATCAAAGATCAAGTCCTTTGTGAAAGTTTATAACTACAATCACCTCCAGCCCACCAGGTACTCTGTGGATAAACCCTTGGACAAAAGTGTTGTTAACAAAGATATCTTCAGAGACCCAGCCCTGAAACACAAGGCCAAACGGAAGGCCAAGGTCAAGTTTGAGGAACAATACAAGACAGGGAAGAACTGACGGGAGCCATAAGCCTAAGCGACCCTTGGCACACATGCCACCATATTTGGGCTTCTCTCCTCTTTTCTTAGATCTAGGCCTTGCTTAAGTCTCCATAGCAACCTCTTCTCACAAATACCAGAACCTCTTCTCAGAAATCAGGTGACTGAGCTGCAGTTAGGCAATTAGGCAGTTAGGCAAGAGTAGATAGATAACCCCCAGAGCAACATTCCCTGCTAGTTGAACAACCCATGACTAAAGTCCACTCCCTGCTTGCATCCCCCTTTGCCCCAGTCTATATAAGCCTAAAGAGGACAATAAGGCCGGGCGGTGGTGGCGCACGCCTTTAATCCCAGCACTCGGGAGGCAGAGCCAGGCGGATCTCTGTGAGTTCGAGGCCAGCCTGGGCTACCAAGTGAGTTCCAGGAGAGGCGCAAAGCTACACAGAGAAACCCTGTCTCGAAAAACAAAAAAAAAAAAAAACAAAAAAAAAAAAAAAAAAAAAAAAGAGGACAATAAATTTTTGGAGCTTGATCAGACATCCTGTCTTGCTCTCATTCTTTATGTCTCTTGTCCCTCTCATTCATCAGCCCTCCCTTCATGTCCCCATTGAAGACCCCGCTGGCCGGGGCAAAGAACAAATAGTTTTTCCAGAAGCTTTGCTTTTAGGTATATTTTTATTTTCGTCATTAATTTTTTTTTTTAAAAAGGAACTGCACATTAACCTATAATCCCAGCACTGTGGGGGCTTTCTGACCCCAGGCTAGCTCCAAGTTCAGTGAGGAAATGGTAGAGAGTTACAGAGTGGGACAGATGTCTTCCTCTGGCTTCCAAGAATGTCCACATGTACACACACACACACACACACACACACAGGTTAATAATAATAAATTATGAAATAGTAAGTTACCTAAGGCCATCAGAAATCATAGATATTTACACTATGATTCATAACAGTAGCAAAATTACAGCTATGAAGTAGCACTGAATATGATTTTACAGTTGGGGGTCACCACAACATGAGGAACTATACTAAAGGGTCGCAGCCTGCGGCCAGATTTGTCGCAGAGAACGGAGCAGGAGCCACAGACACAGCTCCATGGCACTGCCTATCACAGCCTGGAGAATTCCTTCTCTCTCTCTCTCTCTCTCTCTCTCTCTCTCTCTCTCTCTCTCTCTCTTTAAAGAGTTAATTTTATGTAGTTAATTTTATGAGGATGGGTGCTTCATCCTCCTGTGTCTGTGTGTGCAGCATGTGTCTGCAGTGCCTGGGAGGCCGGAAGAGGGCATCAGATCCCCTGGCATTGGAATTACAGATGGTTTCGAGCTCCCATGTGGATTCCGGGATTCAAACTCCAGTCCTCCAGAAGAGCAGCCAGAGCCATTAACCACTGAGCCATCTCTCCAGCCCAAAGACAAAATTCTACACTGGAAAGAATTTCGGGCTGGTGTCTATCAAGAGCATATTTTAACAGGGATTTAAGGACAAGAGTTAAAGTGGGGTGCCCTGGGAAAGGATAAGACATGCCTATGTGTGGGCACAGGCTTCTCAAGAGTGTCTTTACAACAGCCATATGTGATTTGGGTGGCTTCTGGGGTTATAGCTCAAAGGATTACTAAGCCCTCCCCCTTTTGGGGGTAAATGAGGTCATAGTGTAGCTTCTGATGTAGAAAAAGGAAACTCTGGGTCACATGGGTTGCAGAAGAAAGCTAAGACGTATGAACAAAGTCGATGTCGTGTTTGAGTTTCCCAGAAGACTGTAGGAACACATCTGGAAACGGGGGAAGGCCATACTTGGGCCTTAAGCATGGTCTGTTGCTATTCTAACATTCTGAAGCACCCCTACATAAAAAGATTAGCATCTCTATGTAGACAATCTTCACAGAAGGTTTTGTTAATTATGCTAGAATTTTTTAAATTAGCATACAAGGTATCATCTATCGTTGTGGTATTTTTGAACAAAAAGATGTTTTAGCAGATTCTCTTTCTCCTCATCTCTCCCACCCACGTGCTCCCATACCCTCTTACAACTCCTCCCCCTTCAGTCTCCTGCCCACCTTCAGGTCACGTGTGTCCTTTTGCCTCCCCTGCCCCAGCACTTCTTTCTACTCTCACACATGTATACATCATAAGCTAAGATCTACAAAGAACGAGAACATGCAGTTTTCATCTTTCTGAATTCGGGCCACATTGCTTAATATTATACTTTCCAGATCTGTTCATTTTCTTGCATGTTTCATAATTTCATCTTTCTCTTTTTTTAAAAGATTTATTTATTTATTATGTATACAGTGTTCTGCATGTATGTATTCCTGCATGCCAGAAGAGGGCATCAGATCTCATTATAGATGGTTGTGAGCCACCATGTGGATGCTGGGAACTGAACTCAGGATCTCTGAAAGAGCTCTTAACCTCTGAGCCATCTCTCCAGCCCCAATTTCTTCTTTCTTTACAGCTGAATGAAATCCCACTGTGTATACAATTTCATGACCCTTTCATGAGCTGGCAGATATCTAACTGGTTCCATTTTCTAGCCATTGTGACCAGAGCAGCAATGGACATTGATATGCAAGCATCTCTGTAGTCTGGCATGGAGTCCTTTGGGCAAATGCCCAGGAGTGGCTATATATACCCAGAAGTGGGTATATAGGCCCAGGAGTTGGGTATATATGCCTAGGAGTGGTACATATGCTGAGGAGTTGGGTATATGTGCCCAGGAGTGTTATATATGCCCTGGAGTAGTATATATGCCCAGGAGTGGTATCAAAGGTCACAAGGTGGTTCTGGCTTTAATGTTTTAGAAACGTCCTCAATGATTTCCATAATGGCTGCACTGGTTTACATTCCCACCAGCATTGAGTAAGGGATTCTCTTTCCCAGTTTTCTCATCAGAATTCTCTAAGCTGATGAGACTCCAAACTGAGCAGGCCCTTCCCATGTCTTCTTAATTTTCTCTGCCTTTCTATCCTTCCTCAGACTAACATGGGGAAATGGAGGTACCGTAGAGATGGCTGAAAGCTGAGGCAACCACAGATGCAGCTGGGACCAACATGGCCAAGAAAGATGGCTGCTAAGTGTCCTCTGCATAATAATAATGACATCTTCACATCATTAGCCCTACAGAAGTATTCCCATCATGAATCTGATATTATTCCACATCACAAAAACCCCACAGAAGAGAACAAATCCCTATTCTAGAAAATCCTGACCTGTTCTAAGAAAAAGATTTAGACGAATTGCCTGTCTATGTTTTCTAAAACAGTAGTCTGCTTCTAGGAGAATAAAAAGAACTTCTGGACCAGCAAACACAGAAGTAGCAAAGGTCTGAGCAATGATCTGAACCACACAACCAGAAGGGACAGCATGGCTGGGCCAGCTCTTCACTTCTGCTTCCTACTGTATTTGAATGGGAGCTTTGGGGTATATGCAGAGGGGTTTTATCTACAAGATCAGAATGATAGGGCTCTGCTCACTTAACCTAAATCATCAATTACTATAGTATTTTTAAAAATTCCTTAAAACTCTGCATGGGACCCCAAGAGCATTTTGAAAGTGTATGGAAGACTGGATCTTGTCCATTTACCAGAGAGCCTGGCCTTTAATGAAACAGACCTTGGGTTTCTACCTTTTCTATGGAGAGCTAACACAGACAAAGAATCAACAGGCACTAGGGTAATTTTCCTTAAGAAAGATTTCAAAAGAAAAAAGCACTCACCCATAAACATCAAGAAAAAAAATTTTTTTGCTTACTATCAAAAGTGTAAGTTCACCCAAAGGTAAAATCATTTAATTGCCTGTCTTTCTGGGCAATGGAAAGAGTAAGTGCATACATTGCTGGCCTGCTTACAGAACACTGTTTATAAAACATTTAATGCAGTGCTTTCTTGCCAATTAAGAGTGAGGGTAGGATTTACCCTTCAGTTTTAATATCTTCACCTGATTCTCATATACTAGGTGATATGAGCCAAAGGGATTAAGGAAACCATTGGCTACACATCTCTGCAAAACTATCTCCCTGGAAATTATCTTCAGAGTAAAAGGAAATGGTATTGGGGTTTGAATGAGGGATTGGCTAGATTTCCTCTGCATATAATCAGTCCAAGTTGGAACGTGTTTGTATTTGTACTGCCAACATCTGATTATCTGGCCATCGCAGAGGTTCTTTGAGCTACCTAATACCTTACCACAGCACTCTGTCCTGACCAGAGGGGTTAGAGCAGATCTCTAGGTCACAGTACTCTCTATCCTGACCAGAGGGCTTAGGGCAGATCTCTAAGTCACAGTACTCTCTATCCTGACCAGAGGGGTCAGGGCAGACCTTTATGTCACATACTCTCTATCCTGACCAGAGGGGTTCAAGCAGACCACTGGGCCACAGTACTTTCTATCCTAACCAGAGGGGTTCAAGCAGACCACTGGGTCACAGTGCTCTCTATCCTGACCAGAGGGGTTCAAGCAGACCACTGGCCACAGTACTCTCTATCCTAACTAGAGGGGTCAGGGCAGACCACTGGGTCACAGTGCTCTCTATCCTGACCAGAGGGGTTCAAGCAGACCACTGGGCCACAGTGCTCTCTATCCTGACCAGAGGGGTTCAAGCAGACCACTGGGCCACAGTACTCTCTATCCTGACCAGAGGGGTTCAAGCAGACCACTGGGCCACAGTACTCTCTATCCTGACCAGAGGGGTTCAAGCAGACCACTGGCCACAGGGTAACAGATGCTAAAGGGTTTGCAGTCATTAGACCCTCAAAGAAATGGGAAGATTTGGGAGGCGTCCTCTCTCAGTTAGGTCGAAAGCAATGGAGAATCCCTTAGCATTTCATTTTCCAAGGAGCAGGAGTTTCGTGCATGAACGACTTTGGGAACAGGGAACGAAGCATGTACTGTTGGCAAGAACAAAAGGCCTGGGCTCCACACAGGAAAATTTACAGGAAGGAGACACCAAGTTCAATATTTAAAACATCTGGTACAAGACACAGTCACAGAATAAAGCGTTGCTGTGATCAGCCTTTCAAACACCTCTTACATCTTGTGTTTGCTTCACTGGGATCACAGAACACCAGATACTGTGGATCTTGGATTTTCACAGTTGGAATGTGGGCCGGTTTCACAACCTGTCTGTTAAGTGCAGTTGGGACACTGACTGAGCAAGAGTGGAGCCCTGAGACATAGAGTGGACAGTCCATCGGCACTGCAGGGCCACACAGTGGAGAGCCCATCGGCACTGCCGGGCCACACAGCGGAGAGCCCGTCGGCATGGCCGGGCCACACAGCGGAGAGCCCGTCGGCACGGCCGGGCCACACAGCGGAGAGCCCATCGGCACTGCCGGGTCACACAGCGGAGAGCCCGTGGCACTGCCAGGCCCTTTAAACCAATAGGCCCTCATTGCCAGATTCAAGAGCTCCCTCTTTGAGTTCGTGTGTGGTGAGGGATATACACATATGTATATGTTTATTAGGATGTGCACACATATGCCACTTCATGTGGAGGCTAGAGGTCCATGTTAGGTGTTTCCCTTCATTGCTCCTCATCTTAATTTTGAGACAGAGTCGCTCTCTAAGCTGAAGCTTACCAATTCAGCCAGGCTGGCTGGCCAATGAGCTCCAGGGATCCTCCTGCCTCTGCTTTCCCAAAGCAGGA